TATGTTCTTGCAAATCTTGTATGCCGTCTATGAATTATATTGTTCATATCTGATTCTGAATTGGGTTAAAATGTTTATTGTTTTTTTGCCCAAAATTTAACATTTAATGTGTTCAGAGTGGACAGACTGCAAATTATAGTAGTTGCGAAAAAATATATTTCTACGTGTCGCAACTGTTCATCAGTAGGATGCCTAAAATGCGTGCAATTCCACAATTGGTTTCGGCTCCATTAAAAAAATTAATAATATTTTTGGTTAAGAGGGTTAAAGTGTCTCAGGCGGAAATTGAGTGTTACAGGGCCAATGTAGGGCTTTAAATCTTTACCCAGGCGCTAGTATCCGACTAATTTTCGTATCTACTATTTATGTACAAGCGAATGGATTCTTAGTCGTGCTATGGCGAATAACAAGCAAAAAACACGTCAAAACCTGGGTTACCCAGGAGAAGAATTCGTTTCTCGAGGATGAGGCTCCTTGGGTGGTGTTTTTTCATTGCAGTATGGGATTGTTCTACTTCTTCTATTGATAATTTTGAGGTTAAGCGGTAAGCCGGGTGAAAATTTGTCCCCCAAAGCAGTTCCATGGTGCAACATGAACAGTTGTCAGCGGTTATGACATGGGGGAGGGGTACATTGTCTTTAGTAAATGGCTTATTTCTGTGTCGTTTATAGGTGAGCCACTGTCCTCCGGAGCTTGATAAACATCCTGATGCACAGCACAAACCTGGCACAGTGCTTACAAAGAAGAGAAAGGAAGAAACCATTTTTGTATAAATACCTAAATAAATCCGGTATTCGCAAAGCCGGAAGCCGCTTTTTATGGCCGTGAAAATAGTAAAACAGTCAAGGGTATAAAGCTATGAAGAAAATAAACAAAATTTTGAAATATTTATTAGTGATATCTTTTAAAACCTTTTCAGAGCATGAATGAGTAATTAATGCATTACTCTTTATTCTTGACATGCTAGCGTCGGAGCCTCCAACCGCGTCTGACTGGAAGAAAGAGTTTGGCTGGGCTGAATTTTAGACGTCTCAGCAGTCAAGGTTTTATAGAACTTGCCCCTGTTGATTTTTCAAGCCATCTTTTTCTAGCCTTTTCCAGGCTCTTACGGTGATGTTACACGGAACGATTCGTAGCGACGATTTTGAGCGCAACACAGCATTACAACATTGTTGCGACGTTGTTTCGAATCGTTGCAACATTGCAACGCAGTGTTGCGCTAAAAGTTGTCGTTGCGAATCGTCTCGTGTAACATTACCTTAAGATAGTAGTAGCCTGCGTAGCAGGCGCTTGGAAGTAATTGGGCGCAAGAAAGAACGGGGCGCGTGAGAGAGACACGCGAGGGGAGAGGGTGTCTCCCTCGCGCGCCCAGTTCTTTCCTGCCCCCAATTGATTCCAAGCGCCTGCTACTCAGGCTTAGATAGAAGGGTTGACGCATAAGTGAAAAACACTCGAAAATATCAGCGCGTGATCTGGGAAAAGAGAGCAGTGGCGGGAAAAAATGGACATACACCGAGAAAAGAATGCATCTTGAAATCTAGGGCTATTTTGTGCAATACGCAACAACTTCCGGTCAAAAACACTTTCTTCAAGTCAAAATCATTCGCAATATAATATATCTATTTTGCTGAGATGACGTACGCACAATTTTCAGTTTCAGAGTCGTTCAGTTTTCAGCTTCAAATATAGTTTGAATCCAGACAAGGAATCAAACGTTTCGTTGTAAGAGATGTGCTCCATAGCTAATAGCAATACAGTTTTCCTGTGGGAGGCGGTTTCGCGATTGCCTTTTAAAATTCTTTTTTCGTCTTAGTGAAAAGAACTCGCACTGCAATCGCCAGAACCTTGTCACCACATTACTTCTTAAAACTTATAACTAACAACGGCATGTGCAGGGCATTTTATGTCGAAGCTGGCGACACCTCATGAGTTTTTAAATCAGCTTTAAAACTTATGACTAGCAAAACGTTTGCATATCATACGGCAATGATTGTGGTTAAAATTTTCAATGTTTACTAATAGAAAGTACGTGCGGACCGTTTTCAACGTCTGGCGGGTGGAGCAAACAATGGCTCTGAAGTGGTGGATTTTGTGGTCTGTGATTCAATGTTCGGTAGAGTTGAAGGGTACATTGTAGCGTCGCTCTTTTTAGCCACACCTCGCTGACTCCCAGCAGTGCACTCACACCTGGAAACTAAGCAAACAAGATCAAGTCAGAATCAATCAGCAAGAAGGAAACTGCGAGCCGACTACCTCTAGCTGCTAATAGTGGTGTAGCAATCCGAAACTGAGTGATTTGTGAGACAAAGATTTTCACAAAAGTTCTCCAGTACACACGGAGCGATTTGTCGCTGCGACGTGTCGCCACAACATCATTTGCTACAAGTTGTCGCCTAGGGTGTACCGACTCCTTAACGCATCGGAGTTGCATCCTGGAGAAAGTAGGCAAAACTCATTCGAATACGCCAAGGAACATTCAATTTGCTGCGCAATTTAGACGTAAGACTCGTTCGATAACATCTTCTTTTTACAAAATAACAAAAACACGCGTCCACCTCACGCTTCATGCTCCTCCGCATGAAACAACATGCCCTGCATCCCACCACCCCCCCCCCCAAAAACCGGTTTGTACCAGTTTGTCTAACCACCCTACTGGGAGGTCGCCATTTTCATTAGTTCTCCTCCTTGCATTCATGGGATGCCACCATTTTGAATGATTTTGTTCAAGCATCCTCGAAATACTACTCAGCAGTATCCACCAGACGGCCCTTCCAAAAAATGCTGCCTTTGAATTCTAACTGATATTTGCCTGAATAAACAAAGTTATTCTGCTTTAACTATCTTTAAATAGAAACAGAAGCTCATGCATTGTTTTGCTTACTTTTTTCTTCCAACTCCATGACTATGGCAGTCAGCATTTTCATCTGATCTTTAAGAGCGGTTAAATCTTCAGGCTGAAAATACAAAAAGACCTTTTTGTTACCACACGTCATGTCAACCAAAAAAATACTTTTTGTAGGCTCTCTGTGAATAGCAAATTGAAATGATGTTAAATGTCGCTATTTCAGAAAGAAAAAGTGCAATCCAGAACAATTATAATAATCTTTTCAAAAGGCTTCAGAGCGAAAAAGCAGAGTTTTGAACATGCACTACTTCCGCCATATTAGCCTAAACTTTTTTAAAATTTTGTTAACACGCTGCGCCAGAAAAAATCATTTGGTCGATTTACAGCAAGATTTGTAATAGCCTGAGTAGCAGCGGCTGGGAAGTAAATGGGCTAGATTTGTAAAGGGAGAGGCTCATTTTTCACCTGGGCCGGAAAGCATTTTAGCTTTCCAACATCTTGAATTCAGGGTTTTGGAGGATTAACTCTAACTCCGCGAAATAACTCTATAGAATTAACTCCGAGAATAGCCGTCCCCGATCGTTTTGCTGGATGACAAAGTAAATTTACATGTAGGCCTGTCATTAATTTAAAACTGAGATCGTCTTTTTAAAACTCACCGAAGCTCCGATAGCTGGGCGGCCAGGTTCTCCCGCTGGACCCGGAAGTCCAGGGGGTCCTCGTGGTCCTTGTATTGATTCTCCAAGTTCCCCCTTTAATCCGGGGGATCCCATGGGTCCTGGAGATCCAGGTGGTCCCGGGTCTCCGGTCACTACTGTTGTGGTAGCCGGCTCGCCGGGATCTCCTTTCTCTCCTTTCTGGACTCTTAAACCACGTGATTGCCCTGAAAGTAACAAAAACAAAAACAATCAATTTATATTCGCGTTTCTACGCTTAAGTGCAATGCACACTTGACGAAGAAACAATTCTCCCAGACTAGGAAAGTTAATGCATTATCCTACCCACCTTGGACTCCGTTTAAACCTGGAGGCCCGGGATCTCCAGTTTCCCCTATCTGCCGGGGGGCCCGGGGGGTCCGGGTGGCCCGCGAGGTCCCGGTGGACCTCTTGAGATTTCGCTGTCCTGAACTATCGCCTCGGCAGGAGCTTTTTGACTTTTCTTTCAAAAGTAAACAGAAAATGGGCTTCTTTAATCTTAACCATGAAAAAGAGTCTGTAAGTTGTGCAAGTTAACACCTACAAGGCGTCCATTGCATGTATCGGCTAGAGGTAAAGGGCTTGATCTAAAATTTGAAACGGCGAAACGACCACCACAAATCAAAGAGTTCAGTTACTGGTTCTCTACAAATCTGAATCAACCAATAAATAAGCTAGTGAAATCAAAGCAAAAGGCAGTTCTAACGGAACATCACAAAAAATGAAACTACATTTGTATTTTCAGCTGAGCTCAAAGACATAGTGACAGACTCTTTTAAAAAGAGAAGAGCTACTTCAGTTGGTCGGCATCTTGGTACATGCTGAGCTTCAGTCTAAACGCGGGTTACCTGCCAGTCACCTGGCTCGTCTGTTAACCGGCGAGCAAGCTCTCCGAGAAGTCACGCGCGAGCGACATACGAAATGACACGCGAGAACGACGCCGGGACACTTTATCATTTTGTTAGTTTTATTCATGTTTTCCCTTGAAATTCCATCTTCGTACATTACTAACCTGTTCCAAGGCTTTTAACCTGGCTTCCAGCAGAAGAAACTTGGTGCAATTAAAACAGGCTGTTGAAAGAGAAGCACTCCAGTTGATGGCTTGATGTAAATGAAAGTCATGATAAAAATCTTAGTTGGAACTGACTTTGATAGAATAGCACCCACCTTGACTGCAATCTTTTCCTGTAAAGCCGGGACAACAGTCTTTCACCGACGTCATCACTGTTCTCACCTCTATTTTATACTGTGGACGATAGGTTACCCTGAAAATACAGTCGAACCTCGTATAAGTGACGCTACAAATACGAAGGTTTAACGGTAGCTCACGAAAGGTGGTCGCTTACGAGAATAGGGAACTTAAGATGGAGACGTTTTCGGGGCGACGGCAACTTCAACCGGACGTGACGTCTTGATTTGTGCAATATTGCGCATGCTCTTGCTCACCACATTGCCGTCGTGCTTTACCGTCGTGCTAACCGTCGTGCTCCCGTCGGCGACGTGAAACTGGTCTGTTTGGCGTTGTAGCAAGAACGTGAGTATTTAACTTTCATTTCAATCAGGTTTGTTGCGTTTAGCAACCAGAGTTTTGCAGATTATCGTTCTTAAATTGTCCTTGTTTTCTTTGAGTCACATTTCAAGCTCGATTTCCAAGCTCTGTTATCTAAACTTACATCTTTGTAATGTTTCTATGTTTCATGTCACAGAGTCAAGATCCAATCTGATCCAATACGACAAACAGCAAACCGTAAGTGAGCTTTACACAGGCAAAATTGTCCTGCGAGCCAAGTGAAAGTATCCAGACAAAAAGTATGAACTCCGATATTTCAGTTGTGTGTTTTTATCTCACTTTTTTCGTTAGAGTATCGTATAAATGAAACGTACGTATTGAAATTCGTTTAGAATAGTAGGTAATACCACATACTAAAGTGGGAATACTGAAATAAAGTTGTTGTTGTTGTTGTTATTGTTGTTGCATGCAAGCAAATAAGTATTAATTCTCTTAATTCTTCATGTGAAGCCATTTTTTCCTCTTCGGTAGTCTTCCAAGGCGCCGTCCTCCTGAGTTCACTGCGATCTTAATGTTCGAATTTTGGAGGGAAGCGACGGCTACCTCTGTTCCAGGCTTGCTCTGCCAGTCCGGTCGGCTTCGCCCCGAAAACGTCTCTATCTTAAGTTCCCTAATATCTAACCACGGGGCTCTTTTCCAAATACAGCCTGCGTAGCTGGTGGGATTGTTATGCGCGGGGTATTTTCTTTATCCGCAGGGTACTTTCTTGGCGGCGGAGCCGCCACGGATTTTCGTTGACTTGATCCCAAACTTCAGGGTGCTCCGCCTCCAAAAAAAGCAGCACTCCCCCGCTATTCCCGCCTGCTATGTAGACAATTCCGAGTAGAGGTACCGACATAGTTACTTTTGCAAGAAAATTTATTGCATGCAATTTACGAAATACACAGTTCCATGTTGTCACTAGCAGTTCTTTCTATATTATGAGTATCGTACTACATACAGCAAAATCTAAGATTTCAGGCCATGTTTTTCAAGTATTCACTTGCAACTGAGGTTTAAAAACGATGGAAAGTTATGAACCTGATACTCCGAAAAGTTGTTACCGTCGCTTACGTGAGGTTTCAGCTGTAGGGCTTTGAGTGGGAAAATTTTTGGAGTGCTTTTTTGAAATTGGTCGCACATGGAAGTTTAAAGATGGACTCAAAACCACTACTATTGCCAAAATTAGCAAGCTTTCCCATGCTTGTAATTTTTTGTCTTCCGGCAGCTTTTGATGCCTCTGTTGCATTATTTGCGTTTGTTTTTGTTAGCGTGAGAAACTGTGCAAACTGTGTTGTCAAGGGAGGGAAATAATGCAACCAGCGTCACGGGCCATAACATGCAATCAAGTGCTAACCAAATGTCTTCAACTTGTCTTCTTCGGGAAGCCTGTTCCAGGCGTTCAGATTTCGGGAACGGCGCGAAGAGATGTGAGCAGGGAGCAGCGACCCGCTCTTTGACTTATCTGAACGGGACAGGTTGTTTTAATTTGGCAGTCACTTGGCCCGAGTCACGCAACGCTTCCAGTCCACACGCGATACGTAACTTCGACCCGAGTAGCTGGAGGCGGGAAAATCAAGGGCCATAAAATGTAACCAAGTATCAAACCAGTGTCACACGTCATGGAACGTGCAACCAAGTCTTAGGCGAAGGAAACAGTGGCGAAAACAAACAAATAACCATTTACTTTTTTTTTTTCAAAAAAAAAGTTAGCATGTAGAACTTGAATTCAACTAATGCCGTAAAATTCCGAAAATAAGCCTCCCATGTATATAAGCCCCTATAAGCCCCCAAAACTCGTAACGCAAAAAATCCTCCGTTAAACCGCCCCTCCAAATATAAGCCCCCCCAGGGGCTTGTACTTGGAAATTGCCCTCAAATACAAAGTAAAACAAAGCAAAAACAGTAATCCTTCCAACTGTAAGGCTAGCCCAATCGATTTTCAAACGCAAATTTCCCTCCATAGATAAGCCCCTCCGAATATAAGCCCCTCCAAAAACAAACCCCTCAAAAAGGGCTTTTGAAAAATATAAGCCCCGGGGCTTATTTTCGGAATTTTACGGTAAATTATTTGCGCGTACGTTTTTTTGCGTTTGTTCATGTTCTAACTCAGTTATAATTGTAACACACCTGTGACCAGTACAAACTTTTTGCTGAGATTGTGTTCCACAATAGTACTTGAACTGGTGGGTTACTCTTTTCATGTGCGCTACATTACAAGTCACTTGCTTGGGCTTCTGGTAAATGCAGTACTGTCCGCCAGAGGCCGAGGTGGTCTGGGGTGGTGCCTGGGTACTAGGCTCTTGGCTTTGTATTTGAGGACTTGGTGCCTTGACACCGGTACGTCTGTACAGCGGTAGCTTGTTTGAAGGATCGAGTACCAGCCTTTGTGATTGGAAACCGTGTTGGCTGCAACCGATTTCAGAAATGGCTACTATATCACTTTACTCACTTCAACAGCATAAAAAATTGTTTTTAGGGGAGTTCTATTCCCCTTCTCTTCTCTGATCATGATAGGGAGGAGGCGGGGAAATTCGAATACCCTAAAAACGAGTCGGTTGCATTCCCCCCTCCGCAGAGACTCCGCCTGGGTTTTAGTGAGCGCGTTGTGGACGACTGGAAGAGGAGTTCCCCTTCCCATCGTCCCCTGCGCGCTTTCTTTTTTTGTTTACGACACAAAGAAGCTTCTGAAGAGGATGAGAGATTGTGAGAGAGTCGTTTGTAACAAAGGCATGGGAGAATCATAATGATTTATGTGTTTTCTTGCGTAAAATGCTATTATAAGCGCTTAAAACAAAGAGGTTGTACTAACGTTAAACTTTAAGGCCAAAATTTATATTCTCTACTCCCAAAAAGCGCTTAGAATAAATGGAGATAGAAATTAAAAGGGATGTTAATTCTAAGTGAATCAGTCATATGTATACGATCTACATAAAAATCTATTCTGTGTAAAAATTAGTGGTAGATATCAATAGTGATAGAAACAAATATATCTTTTCTTTCCTGACATCAGTGGTCTTATCTATATTATCCTGTGTAGCTTTCCGCAATCGATACTTTCAGGGAGGTCATAATATCATAATTTATCTATCTTCAAGAGATAACAACAAGCAATTACCCTCCTTTTAGTTTAGTGGCTACGACAGATTACATCGGTGGTTAACAAGAGTCTGACAGTGCAGATAGCCGTGTGACTTTCCGATTTTCTTTTAAAAAGTTAGCGGGGGCGATTTGTTCTTTGTTCATCTGAAACGCCCCCAGAGTTGCGGTCTTCATTACTGTTCGCGTAATTCTTAGTTTCTATGAGAAGCAAGCATTTCTACGGAAAAGCAGCTAACTTGAATCCACAAGATCCTTTTGTTGGCTAATTCGTAGCGCTCTGATAAGCCTCTAAAATTTCACTTTTTTCCGTTTTATGGTCAAGTGCACTTTTGAGTTGAGTGAGGAAGAGCTAAGTGTCACAACTTTGAGGAGGGTATTCAATAGGTTTTTTGGTATCCGGGACTTGCCTCATTTGAAGGCAGGGATTGGGGATTTAAAAGCCAAAGGGAAAGATATTTAAACGGGGAATACTGGGGAGCAGGGAACGGAAAAAAATTGAGTCGAGGTTCGGGATTGAAAGTATACATGCATGAGATGCTGGATGCTGTCGAATAACCATCGGGATGACAGGATTGTAGAACCCCATCGGGACCATGCGCGGATATAGAGGATGGCCGAGGGGGCGCCTCCACCCCTCCTTTTTTTCTGTTGATTTTTGTATTATTTTTTCAATTACGGCAGCAAAATAATAGGAATCCATATAGCTGGCAAGTTTCCCGGCCACCGCTATCTGGATTTTCTGGATCCGACCCTCGGACTCTCATAAAGATGACGTTTTCGCGCTAAATAGAAACTTTCCCAGAACAAAGACTCTTGACCATTTCGTCTGATTTTAGAGCCAAAACAAAATTTCCGGCAAAACAAATAATAGTCACAAAAAGTCAAATTCCCAGTGTCATCTCTCTTTAGCGATTGTTTATGAATTATCCCGGTTTTTTTTTTCTTTTGGTCCGGAAATCTGACTCAGCTGGCTCATATCAGTATTCCATACAGTTCTGTTCAATTACGCCTCATGGCGTGATACAGGAGTGATAGGTTAAATTATTCTTTTCGTATTTCCCCGAGTCACAAGGATATCGAGTATTGAACAATTCATTTTTCTCCTCTTTCGTCACGAAAATAATGAAACTTTACTGTCGCATGTCAAAGGTTGGAAGTTAGGTACGCCAAAAAAGACGAACCAGAATGTGTAATGTTTCCAGAAATTGAAACTTTAATTATTTATGGCGCCGGGTTTGTTCTTTCATAACCAGCGACAATCACACACTTTTGTACTCATCAGTTCCATTCATGAAAAAGCATAAGTCAGTTTTTTCAAGGCCCTACATGTCTTGCAATGCTACCCTAGAGGTGTCAGAATGTTGCAGGACATATGACAGGCCTTGTGCATATGATGCTGACCACACCACGTTTGATATTGCGTGAATTCAAGGTTTGCGTGAACTGTAGATGCCTCGCACCTTCTTTGTTTTTATGGAAATAGACTCAAGCAGGCGCACTTTATTTTGGTGCGAATTTTCGCGCTTTGGTGTCAATATGAAAGCAGTTATCTCCTGAAACGTTTCAGTTACCGCAAGGAAGTTTATTTTTTATTTTGGGAAAAAGGAAACTCGCGAGTTTTTTATACAAAACAGCAAGACGTAACAATTTTAATCCTCTTTTCAATGCGTCTGAGTTTACGATGAGCTGAAAAACATGCTTTACTGAGTTGAATATTAAGCCAGGTAAAATTTACATCTCAGAACTTTCAAGGGGACGCTATAAGTTTAGGAAGAACGATCATTTTTATATCACGCTAAGAATAAACCGCACTCTGTAATAAGCTTACCTTTGGGCGTACGGATTGTTGTAGCTGTAGAGGGGAAGATGTCTGCTTGAGTGTGACCTTGAAACTCCACGAAAACCAGCGATAGAAGCTAAAACTGCCGTGATAAAAATTGTGCTCTCCGCAGTTTTCATGTTGTAAACTTTCCCACGTCCAGTGGAAGTCAGAAAAATTCTCGACTACAATATTCCAGAAAGTAAGATCTGCTGCGATTTCACAACCATCCACTTAGACTTCGGGAAATTTGCTATTAACGTATGTCAAGTTGCTGAGTCGTGGCTGAGTGCCGTTTTCTGTCCAAAAGCCTGAGACGTTATTCTCGATTGATAACCGTCGAAAGTGATGACAAAATAATTAGAACACAGTCTTGATTACTAGATATCAAAAGGGCGGCAAGCGACCATAACTGAAGCGAGCGATTTGATATCCGAGGTAATGAACTGGAATTTCCGGTCTTAGGTGAGAACTAATAAACTCAGGCTTGGAAGGTGTCCAGTTCAAGTATGCACGGAAATTGTACTAGACATTTTGATTATATAGGATGATGAATTGTCTTTTTATATTTTCCGGTTTATATATATCGGCATATTTTCAACCTCATCGCTGTAGGGGGAGAAGCAGCCTGCCAGGAGGCTCGACGCGCGAGCCGGTGTGCAAAGCATGCGAGACTGAGTCCGGCGAGCCTAATCGGTAACTACCAGCTGTCCACAAACAACTCCCCTATCCCCCATCCCCTAGTGTTTTGCATTGACACGTCAGACCAGTTCCTGCATTCTTCATTCATGACCCATTTTTTTACCTGAATATATAACATATCCAATTCTTTCGGCTAAAGCAAACGACGAGGAGCATTCCCTTTTATATATAATTCAGAGAGAGCCCCCTCCAGATTGACATTTAACAGTACCTTGACCTGTAACTCTGTATTTAGCTATGGGGTGTAGTCGCTCTAGTCAAGTTAGCCTTCCCCAGACAGAGAGCCTGTTCACAGGCTATAGTCAAGTCAAGTACCTGAAAGATTATGCTCTTCCGCTATGACTAGTATGCCGACATCCGTTTATTGTTAATTCTTGTTAGCAAGTAAAGTATATAAACGAGCTTCTTGTTGCCAAACTGACATTATAATGTACACCATCGCGTTGAATAATACAAATACTGAATGGATATGGACGTGACACAAGAAGTGCAAAAGAAGGGTTCTGACTATCTCTCGCGCATTGAAATAATCAGTTTTGTAAGATACAATACCAAGGCATTCTAAAACTGTTTGATAACAATTAAAATTGTTATCAGCTAAACCAAACAGCTTTTCACCTCATTGACTTTCTGCAAATCGTAACAACGTGTTTGAAGACCCCTTTGAAAATGATACAAAGAAAACATGTGATATGTTATTAGTTTTTCTTTTAAGCTCTGAACAATGCAACATTTTTTTTAACCGTCACATCTTTTCATTGTGTTTCTGATGGCCTCATCTGTTAAACATTTTTTTTTCCAATTACTTCTCCAATGACAATCTTTCGGAGTGAAAAATCTATATCCAAATCTACGGTAATTTCTTTCAACCCTCCTATCGCGAACATTCAACTCATCGTGGAAAAAGAAGGTTAACTGTATGATACGTAGACTGGCAGGAAAGTACATGAAACTAACTCTTTCACATAAGAAAACGGCGTAAGTCGAGATGAACTCATCTTTTTCCTGACAGATTAACGTCAAGAATTTTTAATTCTCTTTCACGGACAGGCATTTCAATTCTCATAAAACATACGTAGCCAAATATTCCAGCGACGTCTTTTTTCTTATCTTTCTTATCCAAAACTGGGCGGATCGGAGTTATTTGAAGAGATAAAATGTTCATGATATTTCTAAATAGACCAGCCAATGCCTAAGTGTCACCTGTTTGTCAATAGGCATTTCTAAATTTTTAATTTAATTAGAAAAAAAAACGAAGGATCATTCTCAGTCAAAGTTATAATCAAGAAAAAGAAGATCAACTTGAAATATGTAGTCCCTACTTTTAATTAAGTAGTTCTACTTTCGAGATGTGTCCAAGTCACGGGGTCATGGAAAAAGTGCAAACCATGCTACAAAATTGTAGACATTTCAAACTAGAAAAGGTGAAATCAGCACTTGATATCCGGGAGGACCATTGTCTGTTCTTGGCATACTCCAGTAAACTGATCAAAAGCAAGAGCCATAATTTGACAACGCCCAAAGCCAGTGGAGGGTTTCTCTAAATATCATCGGTGGTTTTAAGACTGTTTTGACAAAGATTTGCTATTTTTTACGTCTTCTATTTAAATTTTATTTTAATGGACAAAAAGCATGTCCACCGGCGCGGCTACAACTGCAGAGTTTCTTTAGGCGGGACCGGAGCTTTGAGAAACACGAGCCAGATGTATTGGTAAGAAAAAAGGTCATTAGTCGGGACTAGTTTTCACAAAAGATTATTCTCCCTTGGTTTCCAAGAATGGAATTAGT